GGCGGGCATCCCATTTCCCACAACACAGGGCAGTGGTGTCTGGGGCCGGCCAGCAGGGGGAGCCAGCACCTAAGTGGAAAGACCAGGAGCTTCCAGAATGGGTCTGAGGACTTCATCAGAGAAGAGCCGGCTCAGAAAGGCACGGGCCACCTCCCCTACAACTCGGGACATCAGCAGGCCTGTGTCACCTGTCTCTGCCACAGGCTGCTGGCTAGATGCTCTCGGGCGAGGGATTGCATCCCTTTTCTGGGGGGGGTGGGTCGGGGAGGAGGAAATGAACTCCCGGGAAGCACTGACACAATAAAATGAGGTAACAGAGGGGAAATCTAGCAGAGTCCCCGGCATGCAACTCCTGGTTGAATTTGCATTTTTTTTTTTTTAAATCAAGACATGTTTACTAATTCCTGTGGGACTGTAATTTCAGATTCTGCCCAAAGTGCAAACATTTGCCAGGCAGGGAGGGTGGGGTATGGTGTGGTGCTCTGCTGTCTCTTTCCTTTTCCTCCAGCCTTTTTTCAATCAAGCGGTCTCTGTACTTCAGAACGCCCAGCTCTCTCCAACATTCTAGCAAGCACCCTCAGGCTGATTATACATTAGCCAGGTGCTCAAGTCAAAGGGTGCTTTTCGTTAAGCCTGGCCTGGAAGGGCTCCTTTCATTGGAAAACTGCTGTGTGCCAAGTGTCAACTCAAAAGCATTGTTCCCTGTGGAACCCCTCTGTCTTCTGACCTAAAATGCGGCCATTCACCCCCCAATTTACTGACAACCCACGTCGGTTTTGCAAGGCCCCGCACGGGGCAGAGATAGATAAGCCACGATCACACCAGGGGAAAGCTTCCACTGATGGGTACAGAGATACCAACAGCCGATCTCAGAACAAGGTATGTGCCTATCTACAGAGATCCCCACTGAGAAGGGTATCTACGCCAGTTCCCACGAGCATTCTGTGAGGGAAGAACTAGCTCCACTTCAGAGACTGACTTCCAAGTGCAAGGTTAGACAGGAAAGGGCAGGACCAGGACTGGACCCCCGGTGTGGCTCAGTCACGCTCTCCCTTATCCTAAGTGGGCAGGGGCTCGTGGAGACCTCCTCCTGCACCGGCTCCAACATGGCTACTATAATTTAGGTCACTGTAGCTGAAAAGTGCTGTTTTTTTCTCCATATCCTTGCCAATGGGCAGCCGTTTGGTGATCTGGACTGTGGCCTGGGGGTTAGTGACACCAGCTCTAGCCCATTTGGTGGCCTGACGGCTCTCGGGGCCACACACTCATGCCTGTGACCCTGGGGATCCGAACGTCACCCCACAGTGTGTCCATCCCAGCTCGTGCCCTCCTCCGGCATTAAATCGTACGGGAACCAGCCAGGACACAGCACCCTCGACTGTTTCACGGGCTTCCTGCTTCTCCTTCCTGCCTCACCTGATGCATCAGAATTTTGCGGTAAAACTTCAGCTTTACAAGAAGACGCAGCAGGAACGACAAGGGAACTCTGATCCAAAACCAGCTAAATGAAGATGTGTGTGTGTGTGTGTGTGTGTTTCTTCTTCTAATGTAAAGCAGTTCCAAGAAAAGTGAAGTCACGGCCTCGGGTGCTTATTTTCAGTTCTTAGAAAAGAGCCCATTTCAAAAGGGAAACTGGGTGGCGGCAGGAGCGCACACAGCCTGTCCTCATCTGGTGGGGAAGTGGGGGGGGGAGGTGCTTGCTGATAAACCGACTGTGATTTGGCTCCTGAAAACTAAAACCCCCAACCGAGATGCGTTTTCATTTAGCAATGTCGCGGAGGAAATGCTATGAATCGGTGAGAGCTATTAATATTTGGGGGAAACACAAGGGCTCGCGCCCCCGCACTGGGGTGGCAAGAGCCCCTGGGAGCCGCAGGCAGTCTGCGGGGACTGTCGGAAAAAGTGCAGGCACCCTCTGGTCCCCACCTCCCACACTCCTGACAGAGGTCACCGCCCAGGCAACCCTATCAGCGAAATCAGCATTTCTCAACAGGGCACTATTTACCAAAGTTAGGTGAAGACAAACGCCAGGGAGATGAGAAGGTTCTGGGCAGCCCACTCTTCTAGCTGGAAAGCGGGTTTTGGGGAAGGGGGCGGGGCAAGGCTCAGGAGGGCAGACTTCTGGGCCGGGAGTCAAGGAGCCGACCACACTCCCAGCTCGAGGACTCCGACGGGGAGCCCCGCAGCAACTATGAAATCATGTTTTAGGCTGAGGGTCCTGTACCGGAGATCCCATGGACTATGTCGGAATTAAATATCCATGTAATCAAAGCAACTGGTCCATGGGCACGGCCGAGAGGGGCCTAAGGAGACACGACGACTAAATATAACAGGGTATCCTGGACAGGATCCTGGAACAGAAAAAGGCCGTTAGGGAAAAAAAAAAAAAAAAGAAATGACGTCTGAATAAAGTACAGACTTCAGTTAATAATAACATCTCCGTGGCGGTTCATTAATCGTCACAAATATGCCACGTTAACGTACGATGTTAATAATAAAGGAGACTGGCTGCAGTGCATGGGAACTCTATGTACTCTCTCAGCCATTTTTTTGTGGATCTAAAATTATTCTTTAGAAAAAAATTTTTTAAAGGCAGTCAGTGGCTCTAAGAACTCTCTCCTCCTCCCAGAAACAATCACTCGATGCCTGCCGTGTGCTGGGTACACGGACGTGTGATTTCTGTGCACCCTCCTTTATTCCTCATATCGGTGCCGGGGGCTAGGGAAAATCTGTATTTTTAGGAGATGAGCTAAGTAAAGCACAGAGACATTAGTTAACTTGCTCACAGCCACACAGCACGCGTAAGCTCATGTTCAGGTCCGCCCCCTGCAAAGTTAACTGATGCAACTCAGTAACAGGGCCTGAAAAATTCCCAAACTTTGAACGGGAGCTGGCTCGAAACCAAGCTTCCAGCAGTCCATGAACTCAGATCAGTAATAAAAGACAGCGGGTGTTTTCCGATTTGCCTTGCCTTTAGAAGTTTAAAAACATAAAATAAAATAGAACTAGTATCGGGGGGAAAAAAAAAAAGTCTAGCAAATCCAAAACACCAAAAACACTGACAACACCAGATGCTGGCAACGATACAGGATAATGACCGCTCTCGTATGCGGCTGATGGGAGAGTGGAGGGGTACAGCCATTCCAGAGGACAGTGCTAAAGACTGAGCACGTGTCCCCTCTGCCACATGCCTACGCTGAAACCTAACCCTCAGTGTGATGGTATTTGGAGGTGGGGCCTTTGGCGGGTGACTAGGTGATGAGGGTGAAACCCCCACGGGTGAGATCAGTGCCCAGCAAAGAGGCCCCAGAGAGCTCCTTACCCCTTCCATTATGTGAGGACAGCCATCTACGAACAGTAAAAGGCACCCTGAATCTTGGCATCTTGGACTTGCCAAAGCTTCCAGAACTGTGAAAAATATATGTCTGTGGTTTTCAAGCCCCCACCGCTAGTCTATGGCGTCCTGTGAGAGCAGCTTGACTGGCCTGGGACAGCCCGGCATTTTCTCCCAAAGCTAACACAGGCTTCCGCGAGACCCCCAGGGGTGCTCCCAGGCATTTACAACAGAGAAATGGAAACCTGAGTCCACACGAAACCTGCACACAAACGTTTCAGCCCTATTAATAACTGGCAAAAACTGGAATCCGACAGGGGTCTTTCAATAGAAAAGTAAACTAAGGGATATTTATGCAACGGAGCGTTATTCAGCCGTAAGAAGAAATGAGCACCAAGTTACAGAGAAACGCGGAGGAAGCTTAGCCGCACGCATACTGCTAAGGGAGAAGAGGCCGGTCTGAAAAGATGACATTCGGTAGGACTCCAACTGTGAGACATTCCGGAAAAGGCAAGCTATGGAGACAGTAGAAAGATCAGCGGCGGCCAGGCCAGCGGTCAAGGGAGAGGGCGGGCTTGGCGGGTGGGGCACAGAGGAGTTTCATGCCGGTGCTCTGATTCTGTAGGACACGGTCATGGAAGATACAGAATATTTTGTCTTTGAGAAACTTGTAGAACCGGGGATCACAAAGCAAGAACCTGATGAAAACTGCAGACTTTAGGTAGCGATACTTTATCTGTGTGGTGTCAAAATTATAGCAAATGTAACCCACCAATGCCAGGTATTAATAAGAGAGGAACCTGCAGGATGGGGTACATGGAAACTCTGTACTTTTTCCTTTTTTCTATAAATCTAAAGCTACTCTAAAAAGTAGTCTATTTTTTTCTAAAGTAGACTCCACACCCAATGTGGGGCTCAAACTCATGATCCTGAGCCAGCCAGGTGCCCCCCAAAATAGTCTATTTTTAAAAAAGGGGCGCTTAGGTGGCTGTGTTGGTTAAGCCTCTGCCTTCATTCAGCTCAGGCCATGATCCCAAGGTCCTGGGATCGAGTCCCACATCGGGCTCCCTGCTCAGCAGGGAGTCTGCTTCTCCCTCTACCCTTCCCCTTGCTCTATCTCTCTCTCAAATAATAAAAAATCTTAAAGAAAAATACAGCATGTAAAATAATTTATTAGTGGTAGAAGATCAGTAACCCAACAAAACTGTACAGCAGCGTAGGAATATAATTCCTTGATATTTACAATCTTGGAAAAAAACAGGCACCAGTAAGAGAGCAGAAACCCACGCTGAACATAATTACAACAAAAAGTCATTCCGTCCAGAAAATGCTAGAACTCTAAAATCCTTAGGCAGTACCCCTTACACAGTGCCATATGTTGACTGTATTTCAATAACACTGGAAGGGGAAAAAAAAAGCCCCAAAACCTCTGCACCAGGACATTGTTGCCTTGCGGCGTCTCACCAGAAGCTACGAGGCAGAAGTCTGGTTAATGCCTAAAAGTCATTCTCAATCTTGATTTTGGTTTCAACAAGACATCTTCTGAGTGTTTCAACGGCTCCAAGAGAGGAAGAACGGCAGGTGTTAACCCTTGGGATCTCCAGGAAATGTACCTTACTGGCTTGGAGGCCCAGGCGGCACAGAGAGCGAGCTGCCTTTCAGAGACTGCTGGTGCCCGCGGCAGGAAAACGCTGTTTGACCTGCAAGCTGGACATGGAAGTTGTTGATGGAAGAAGAGGCGGGCCATGATGTCATTCCCATTTCACGCAGTCTGTTTCCGAGCCCACAACCACAGTTTAATCACCGCAGGCAATGAGCGAGATTCAACTTCAACATCGTAAAAATAGGGTCCCAGTGGCAACGGAAAAAGTACCATCACTTATAAGACTTGGAAAATGCAACATGAGATTTCTGCGTGCTTTAAAGAGCATTAACACACATAAACCAAAAGGGGAAAAAAAAAAAAAACACGGAGCACACATCTGCTTTTCATCTACAGTCGTCAAAGCAAGGGGCATCGAGGGCTAAGTTAAGAGGAATGTCCTAGTGCATAGAAATCCCACCTCCGGACTCCTTGGTCAACCAAAGCAAAACTCTTAGAGAAACTTATGAGAAATGTATCGCATCTTGGAGAAACTTATGAGAAATGTCCGCGGAATGCTACCTGTGAAATCTACATGGTGTAAGAACCTAAATTGTTTCAGAATTCCTGTTGTTATTAGCAAGGGTTCCAGTGTCATCTACGGAAGATGCCTATGTAAATCCTCCACTTCTAGCTCCCACATGCTTTCGTGGATGGGGTTATCGGAGAGATCTGTCATCTTCACAGCCTGAAGGCACAGCTCGGGGCTGCACGCCTGCACCACTCCCATTACCATCACATACTTCCCTAGAAGAAGAAAAGCCCGGGATGACTTGTTTGCATGGATATAAAACCAAAACAGAGACCCCTATCCTTCAGAGTTTAACTTTATCAGAGAAGCCAATTACACACACACACACACACACACACACTCCAAAAACCAAAAAACTAGAGAGTAGATATCAATGTTTAACTCTGGCTTCTGGTTTAAAAACCATAAAATAAAATTGCAGCAACCTACCATCATGCACGAAACAATCATGCCTAAGGAAGGGAAGAGACTCACAATGGAGTTAGGAGTTATAATTCGACTGTTCTAAGACAGGGGCAAAAGCCCCAAGCTTTTCTCTTATCTCTGTTTCTTGCCCAGTGCCGCAGGGTATGTGGCTGATCTCTGTGCAGGGGAGCAGTCCTCTTTCTGCAAAGATATCCCCAGATCTGCCCCAAAGCAAATCTGACTTTCCCTTGATGCCCAGAAGAGCTGGGCAGGCCACAGCACCCCTCCAGGCCACCCTGCTATTCCAGCTGCCCGGGACCAATCCCTGCCACCAGCCGGGCACATGCTGGCAAATCAACAAGAGAACGGGCTGCCGTTGGGATGATCTCATGACATATTAACCACGACTCTCTTCCCATTCCCTTGGGGAAGTGGCTCTCCTTGAAAGCAAAACTTGGCCAGGCTTAACCACATAGAACTCAATTGTGTAAAAAACCCCAAACACAGCAGGAAGGGCAGGCACCCTGCCAGCCCCCACTGCATGCCCCTGCGAGGCTACTTTAATCACACTGCTTCTAATAGCAGGGCTGAGTTCGCACGCAGGCCCCCCCGGGCTCTGGCTGAAGGAAGGCTGGCAAGCTGACACCTGCCTCTTGGACGGCTACCCCTTGCACGAGGCACGATGTAATTTGGTTCCTCTGAACCCACCTCTAGATTCTACTTGAGCAAGTAACATGGGGCTCCTAGGTGATAGGAGCGAGCGCTAAAACTATACTTTGCCAATACCTCCCAAAGGACTCTCCAGTATTGGTAAAGACAGAACCCTCAGAAAAAGAATGAAGACCCAAGGAAGATGAACAAGTACAAGGAGATCCCTGCCAGGGGAGTGTAACAGGATATCTACACGAGGGCACCAACGGCTAGAAGGATGAGCTAGCTGGCATGAACTTGCTCCTCCGGCGATGAGACAGTCTGGTTAGGAGGGTTCATCCTACCCACACCCTCTCTGCCCCCAGCACTGTCTCCACACTGTCTCCCTTCTCCTGGGCCCCACCACGCCCACTCCTTTACACCAGGCCTTCATCCGCTGGCCTGGACCACACCATTTCCAGTAGGTCCGCCTCCAGCTGCGTCCTCTTCACGGATCCACAACTACCCCCACCCCGCTGGGGCCGCGATTTTCCCCAAATGTGGCTCTGGCCTTCCAGATACTTGAATTTCTTATACTTTCCATATGTCATGAAATCATCCTCTAGTTTTTTGAACCATCTGAAAATGGAAAAAAAAAAAAAAAGAAGAAGAAGAAGAAAAGAAAAAGGCTCACAGCCTTTTGGAGAGGCAGCAGCCTGTGGTTTGCTGACCGTGTGTTTCAATAATGCTACAGCGGAGAGGGCGAAGAGGGGAGGCTGAAGGATGGGGCGAGGCGTGGGGCGAGAAGGGAACAAGCGCATAGTAAGGACAGCACAATGTCTTGAACCTCACTGTGAGCGGGGCGCTGTGTTAAGACCATTTTTTTTTTCAACTGAAGCCACACAACAGGCCCCTTTCTGATCCAGGAAGGACAGATCCAGAGAGGTTAAGAAAAGTGCTCCAAGGAGGCTCAGCGGGAAAAGAGCAGAGCCAGGAATTCAACCTCATGCTGAAATCAAAGAGGTCAGAAAGAGCCCTGGTCCTCCTGTTCTCCAAGTGTGGCCCCAAGGGCATCCACATTGGTGACTCCAGGGAGCTGGTTTAGAGAGGCAAATTCTCAGCCTCACCCAGACCTCCGGGTAGTCACAAGCCCTCAGGATAAGTCTGAGGACCCCGCTGATTTAAGAGGCAAACATTTGATAACTATACAGCCTAAAGCAGTTCCACGAAGGGGAGGTGCCAGACAGCTTCCATTCCGAGAAGTCAGGGAGGACTTCTAGGAGGAAGGCACACTCGAGTCCAGACGTTAGGGATGAACAAAGGCTTCCTCGTAACAGCGTTTTCCAAGACTTGATGGGGGAGGGGAAAAAAGATCACCCGTGGGGGAGGGGCTTGTTACAAATACCGATGTCGGGGGGGGGGGTCCCTCCACCGGAGATTCTATGTAGGGGAGCGTCTGGATCCTGCGGCGTCTAAGCGGGCTGCAGGGGAGGCTAATCAGCAGGTCAGCCTGGCCACGGGCGGGGGACCAGCCGGGGACCTGCCAGGCCCCGCCCTCCAGCCGCCCACAACCAGGGTCAGCTCCTCTTCCGCTACGGGCCGTTACCTGGGACGAGGCAGGGCCGCCCGCGCGGCACCCGCTCCAGGCCGCGCACCGAGAAGGCCCCGCTCGGGTCCCGCAGCCGCGCCTCGCCGCCGCCCGCCGCCACCACCGTGCCCTGCATCCACACGGTCACCAGCTCCAGGGGCCCGCGGCCGGTCGCCGCCCGCGACAGCCGCCACGCACCCGGGCTGCCCTCCGCGTCGCGCCGCAGCTGCTCCGCCAGGACTTTGAGCGGCGGTGACCGCGGCAGCCGCACGGCCGCTGGGCCGCCGCCGGTAGCCGAGTCCCCAACAGCCGCGGCTGCTGCCGCGGCCGCCATGCTGCCCCGCCTCCGCTTTCCCGCCAACTTTGATAGGCAGCGGGACCCGGTCCGTAGCCACCAATCAGAGACGCTCTGGCGGAACAGAGCAATGGTCGGCGCCGGGAGGCGGGGCTTCAAGGTCCCGCGGCCTCCTCCAGCCTTCAGGAGTGCGCATGCGTGCGTCAAGTAAATAAACGTTCCCAAGCTGTGAATGAATGGGCAAAGCGAATTACCAGAGAATACATAAATGAACGAGGGAGAGCTTGTTTCAGCGCATCTCAAAACCTGATGTGCACGCAAGTCACCCGGACAATCTCGCATGGCGGGATTACTCTGAGGTTCATCAATACTAATCGATGCTGGAAGGAACAGTAGCGCGAGCCCATGCTTTTTGGGAATGAGGAAGAACCGAGTCAAGGGAGAAGGCGGGGATGAGGGACAGGGACGGCTGCCCAAACTGCCCCCTTTACTACTATTTTGATTATTGTTTTATGATTTATTTTATTATTTTATTACTATTATTTGATTATTGTTATATTTTAAAAACAAAATAATCCAAAACCTAAAATATATTTTTTCACAAAAGAAATGCACATTCATTGTAGAACATTTAGAAAGGGAAATCTGGAATCACCCAACAAACTGTAAAAATCACTCAGAGATATCCACTGTTAACTTTTGAGTATATTAACATCCATATTTAAATATATATATATATACATATTTTTGATATTTTTGATATACAAATAACGTTTTGTGGGGCACCTGGGCGACTCAATGGGTTAAGCCTCTGCCTCTGGCTCAGGTCCTGGGATCAGGTCCTGGGATCGAGCCCTGCCTTGGGATCTCTGCTCCGCAGGGAGCCTGCTTCCCGCCTCTCTCTCTCTGCCTGCCTCTCTGCCTACTTGTGATCTCTCCCTCTGTGTCAAATAAATAAGTAAAATCTTTTTAAAAATAACATTTTCTATATTTCTTCACTTAATAATAACATTTTCCCATAACAACAAATATCCCTCTGGTTCCTCTCGGACTGCATAATATTCTGTTTGTCAGATACCTGTTTAACTGCTGTCCTATACAGTTGGACGTTAAGACCATTTCCAGTATTTCATTTTATGGAATCCCTACTGTGAACCTCCTTGGACCGGAATCTTTGTACATATGTATCAGATAAATGCCTAGAACTGGAACTTCTCCCTTAGAACTGTATGTCCCCAGTCAGCAAAATCCACAAATCCTTAACCAGGCAAATCCTGAAAGTCAAGGCCAGTCCTTAGGAAACTTTGTACTCCTAGAGCCCCTCATAGTACAGAGGGTACTGCATTCAGAGAGCACAGAGAGGATATTTAGCAACAACTTGATGTTTATAAAGCAGTTAAGACATTGAGCCAGGCCCTGTCCTAAGAGCTTTGTAGGGAGTATTTCTCTCACACCCTAGAAAGACTGTGTTCTACCCAGATAAGGAAACAGCTCATGAAAGCCAAGGAGCTTACCCTTGAGCTCTCTTGCAGTAACCTCTATGCGGTTCTGGCCTCTACACCTCAGCTCTGAACTGCAGCATAACACACTACTGGGTTGAGAAGGGAGCAGGCACGTTAACCCACAGAAAATCCAACGCTTTGGGGCGTCTAGGTGCCTCAGTCAATTAAGCATCTGCCTTTGGCTCCGGTCATGATCTCAGGGTCCTGGGATCGAGCCTCGAGTTGGGGTCCCTGCTCAGCACGGAGTCTGCATTCTGCATCCTCTCTCCCTCTAACCCTCCTCCTGTTTGTGCATGTGCACACACACTCTCTCTCAGATAGATAAAATTTAAAAAAAAAAAAAGAAAGAAAGAAAAAAGGAAAGCCAACCCTTCATATGTGATGGGTCCCCACTGGCCTGCCCCTAAGTACCTAAAGGCCAGAGAAGATGGGGAAAGGAGCTGGCATAAAGGCAGAGGCTCCCATGCCTCTTGTTTGAGCCTGGGAATTTCCCACCATTCTCTTGGCCTTCAAGTTTACACACACACACACACACACACACACACCCCTCAAGCTCCAGTGACCTTTCCAAAACACCAGTCTGAACATATCAATGCCCGGTTTAAATCTCCTGACGGTGTGACCCGTCCTGGAATATGAGCATCCTGGGGAGAGGGCACCCCACATGGAGAGCCCAGAGAGGAGAGAAGGAGCCAGAAGCAAGACGCAAACCGCCAGAATTTCAGGGTGGCTGGGAGGCGGGGTGCCAACGGAGGAGCGGGGAGGAGACGAGGCTGTACCCACATAACCTCATTTCTTAGCCCCGTTTTTCAGGTGATGAGAAGGAGGTTCAGGCCAATAACAGGCCTGAGGCCACATGGCCCCTGCGGGGTAGAGCCAGGATTCATGTTCATGACCATCGGACCCCAAACTTGATGCTCTTGAACCATTCGTGTCATCTCATTGTGCACACACTCTCCCACTTCCCCCTTCGAAGATGCCTCCTCACCTTGGCTCCGGCTGTCCTTGGCCTAACGTGCTTCCCCCGCCCCCCGCCCCGTCTCTCCCAGCTGAACCCTGGCTTAGTCACCAAGTGCCCGCTGCCACTGAGACCTGTTCAGGGAGACCTTCTGGAGCTAACGATGTGACTCAATCCCTCCCTTCCCGAGCAGTTTGCTGACACCCCTAATCCAAGGTCTCTTCTGACCCTTGAGGCTGGGTCAGTCTGTACTGTGGAAGCTGCCCGAGGTGCCCGCAGGACATCAGCAGCATCTCTGGCCTCCACCCACCACACGCCAGGAGCCCCCTCCTGGAGTCGTGGCTTCTAGAAATGGTTTCAGACATCGTCAGTGTCCCGGGGAGGCCTAGATCCCGCCTCTCCCCCAATACTTGCTTTACTCTGTCTTAAACCATAAGTGCGGACCTGTGTCCTCAGAAGCTCTGCCAGGGATCCAAGCTCAGAGTCCAGCTGTCCCAGGCAGGGAACGCTTGTAGAGCCGTAAAAAAAAAAAAAAAAAAAACTGGTCTCCGTGGGTCTCAGTGAACGGGGCCGATCCAATTTGGGCCATGGCTGCCACAGAGGAAGGTAGGCCCAGGATTGCCAGATTTGATTTCTCCAGAAAGGAAAAAAAATGCTGGCAATGTATTCAACTCTAAACAAAGGACCAAATAAAACCTGTCTACGGGTGACTCTGGCCTGGGAGCAGCCAGTCTGCAAACTCGGTCTCTACAAGGCAAGCTCTTCTCCTAGTTCCCCGCAGGGTGGCGGTGGGAAGGGTGGAGGCCTCCTGTGTTAACCAACGTGCAGCTCCTTGGTACCTTGGGGAAAACGTCTAAGGGCCTCCCACGTGTCACCAGCTCCCGGTATTGCAAAATTGGTGTCTTCACTGCCCACAGGGCACAGATCACGGGGGTCCGTGGACCCACTCCCAGCGAGTCCTCCCTCCATGGGAGATGATCTCCCTCCCTACCTGCCACCCTCAGCGGGGGCCTGAAGCACCCACCCCGGGCCCCTGCTTCTTAGCCAGATCAAAGACCTTGGGCAGGGAGTTTCCTGCCACCTGAGGACAAAGGTAAGACAAGGGGATTTCCAGGCCTTGACCTCACATTCAACCTACCCATTCACCAGTTCTCCGGAGGATCAGGACGAAATGCGTCAGGGTGAACCAGAGCAGAGACTGAACCCGACCGCCCTAAGGAAAGGACTTTGTTCTGGAAGGATACTCACGTAGTAGCTTCTTCAAAATAGCTGTAACTGTCATTAGCTGTGCATTTACTAAGTGCAAAGCAGCAGGCCACGTGCTTCATGGGCAGAGACTCGGTTACTCCTCAGCACTGCTCTAAGAAGTCTTTTATTTTTTTTTTAATTTAAATAATCAATCAATCCATCAATTTCAGAGAAACACAGAGAGAGAGAGAGCACGCGTGCATGAGTGGGGGAAGGGGCAGAGACAGGATCTCTGAGAGAGAGGCAGAGAGAGGGCAAACTCTGCCCTGACACGGGGCTCGACCTCATGATCCTGAGGTCGTGACCTGAGCCAAAATCAAGAGTGGAGCCAACCAGATGCCCCAGGAAGCGTGTTTCTTTTTTTCTTCTCTTTTTCTTTTAAGATTTTGTTTATTTAGGACAGAGAGAGAGAGCAAGAGAGGGAACACGAGCACAGGGGAGCTGGAGAGGGAGAAACAGGCTCCCCGCTGAGCAGGGAGCCCGAGACGGGACTCGATCCCAGGACCCTGGGATCACAACCTGAGCCAAAGGCAGACGCTTAACTGACTGAGCCACCCAGATGTCCCAATAAGTCCATTTTATAGATGAAGAAACTGATCCTTGGAGAGGTGCTGTGACACCCCACCCCACACACACACATACAAAACCAAAGACCACACAGTAGTAAGAGCTGAAGTCAGGGATTCTGATCTCCACATAGAACAAAAGGTCCCTCTTGGGTATCTTAATAATCAGGCCCCCATCAGATGAGGGGGACTTTTCCCTACTATCCTGGGTCATCCAGGGTAGAATTCCCTGAGGAACTCAAGAAAAGAAGGGACAGAGGGAGGGAGGGAGAGGGAGGGAGGAAGGAAGAAAGGAAGGAAGAAAGGAAGGAGGCCAGTTCTATAAAACAAATCTTGGATTTTAGTTAATGAGATGCATGCCAAAGGATACAGGTCAAGAGGGGCTATGTATGGATGTCTCCAACTTACTTTGAACTGTAACAAAGAGACGTCTCCAACTCACTTTCAACGGGTGGGTGGAGGGAGGGAAGGACAGGTGGGCAGGTCTGCAGTAAGGTGAGTAAACTCCAGAAGGTCTGGCGCTGGAGCAGCCCTGCACAGGGGTCCTACCTAGGGGAAGGGGACTGGGTCTTCGTACTCCCTACTGACCAGTCACTGGACGGGGGGTTGTTAGGGCCATTCCCACAGACGGACTCCGCTGGGTGCCATCAGGTGCCAACTCGGCCAGCAGCTTGGGAGTGAGCCCCTTGGTCCTGAAGGCAGGTCTGATGCCTCCCACCTGCCCAGTTCAGTTCCCACCAACACGCATGCCTTCGTTCGACAGGC